CATTGGAGTCCATTGGGGTCATAAGTCAAGGACTATCTGTGGATAATTAAGACTCCACATATTTGGCTTCAGATATGCCAAATAAAACCTTCAGAGGTTTTGGAATGGTAACTCCCCAAAATTCCATCAGAATATTCAGACACATAAAATTCCACATTCCGGAAAATTGCATCCTAATTAGCCACTACCGGAGCTGTTGCTGGACTCCAGCATCACAAGGGCACAGCAGGTTGGAGAAAGCTGTAAATCTCTCTCCTGTTTAGCAAGAAGGAAACTACATCAGCGCCCGGCAAAACACTATCACCAGAGGAAAAACATGGTATGGTTTAACACTGATAATGTTACTTAGTTGGGTAATGAAAGGTCTGCAACAAAACAATCGAACTCAGAGAAAACACCAAGGACCTCACAATTCAAGCCTGAGGTACTAATATTCTCTTCTGTAAGGCTCCCTGTTCCTAACCAAGTTGAAAATAAATCTCATTACTCTCACTAGCCAGAAGAAACAATGGTTTGCATGGGTTCAGATTAGGGGTGAAATTCAGCAGGTTCTGACAGGTTCTGGAGAACCAGTATTGGAAATTTTGAGTAGTTCAGAGAACTGGCAAATACCACCTCTGGCTGGCCCCAGAATGGGGTGGGAATGGGGATTTTGCAGTATCCTTCCCAAGGATACTTGTGTCTAGTTGTTCTGTTGTGCAGTGCTCTATAGCGTCGTTTTGAGGGTAGGAGTTGAAATAATTTATGTCCAAGATGTGAGGGGTCTGTAAATATTTTCACAGCCCTCTTTTTGAGTCCTGCAGTATACAGGTCCTCCATGGAAAGCAGGTAGGTAGCCATTGTTTTTTCTGCAGCTCTAATGATCCTCTGAAGTCTGTGTCTGTCTTGTTGGGTTGCAGAACCCAACCAAACACCCAACAAGACAGACACAGACTGAACACACTATTGTATGAAGCTTTGAACCCCATCTAGGACGTAATCAATTTCATTCAACCATATTTAAAGGAAAAGTCCTCAGCTCCAGCCTTAGCCTCCAGGGTCAGTCCGATGGAACTAAGCCAGGCAGGAGGGTAAAAAGCAGTAGAAAGGAAAGTCACGTTGATATTAAAACTCAGGCATATGATGAGGCCTAATTATTTCTTGCCTGGGAAAATCTGCTGCTTCCTTTTGAAAAGAGTTCTGCCTTTTATAATAAATGTGATAAGGACGATAATATCTTCCCCTGCAAAAAAATAAAGAAATTAAAGAAATCATGGTATTTTTTGCCATGTGACCAACCCAAAGGAAGAGAACTCCTAATACATGCAAGTTCTTAAAAGGATCAGAAAACAGCTGATGAGGTTAGGGCCAGGGGTGGGTTCTAATTTTTTTTACTACCGGTTCTGTGGGAGTGGCTTATTTTGTGGGCGTGATTTGGATGGTCATGTGACAATTCTTTTAGGATTTAGCAGAGGTACTGGTCTACCAGGCTTTTAACTGCTTGTAGAGCCATATCAGTCTACCCATTTGTTTTTGGAGCGTTCCGGTCTACCCATTTGTTTTTGGAGCGTTCCGGTCTACCCATTTGTTTTTGGAACGTTCCGGTCTACCCATTTATTTTTGGAGCGTTCCGGTCTACCCATTTGTTTTTGGAGCGTTCCGGTCTACCCATTTGTTTTTGGAGGTTCCGGTCTACCCATTTGTTTTTGGAGCGTTCCGGTCTACCCATTTATTTTTTGGAGCGTTCCGGTCTACCCATTTGTTTTTGGAGCGTTCCGGTCTACCCATTTGTTTTTGGAACGTTCCGGTCTACCCATTTGTTTTTGGAGTGTTCCGGTCTACCCATTTGTTTTTGGAGCATTCTGGTCTACCCATTTGTTTTTGGAACGTTCCGGTCTACCCATTTGTTTTTTGGAGCGTTCCGGTCTACCCATTTGTTTTTGGAGCGTTCCGGTCTACCCATTTGTTTTTGGAGCGTTCCAGTCTACCCATTTGTTTTTGGAGCAAGAGTTTAAACAGTTTTTTTCCTTCTAGCCAATCAGCTGGGACTCGGGAGGCAGCAAATAGATTGGGGACGGGGCCAGGCAGAGGTAGTATTTATCGGTTCTCCGAACTACTCAAAATTTCCACTACCGGTTCGCAAGAACCGGGGAGAACCAGTAGCAGCTCACCACTGGTTAAGGCCCCAGGAGCAAATGTTAATCTGAGCAGACAATAACAGGTTGGATTGAAACAGCACTGGGAGAGGCCAAGATTTCAACCTGAGTCTTCTGCGAGTAAAAGATGAAAAGCAAATGCCTACAAAACCTAGAATTTAGGAGTCCCTGCAGATTTTACTCCACTAGTCATTGCCGGAACATCACCACTGAAGTAAAGACAAGGATAGAGAAAGCTCGAACAGCATTCTTCAAAATGAAAAAGATCTTCTGCAGTCACGACATAAGCCTAAGACTGAAAATCAGGCTTGTCAGATGTTACATCTTTTCTATCCTGCTCTACAGAGTGGAGATTTGATCTCTGACAGAAAACCACTTGAAGAGACTAGAAGCATTTAAAATGTGGATTTACAAGCAGCTGTTACGTATAAATTGGGAAGACAAAATCAGAAATGAGGAGGTGATAAACCGCCTGGGAAAGCCAAGGGACATCATCAAAACCATAAAAAAGCAAAAGTTAGAATATTTTGGACATGTGATGCGACACCCGGAAAAATATGGCATCCTTCACTTAATCCTCCAGGGAAAGATTGAAGGCAAATGAGGTCCAGGCAGAAGAAGAACATCATGGCTTCCAAATCTGACTGGTTTGGATAAAACTCGGCAGCACTTTTTCGTGCAGCTGTTGATAAAAATAGGATCGCCAACATAATCGCCAATGTCCGATGATGGATATGGCACAAGAAGACGACGTTGTTGCCGGCTATAAGGAGCAGTGCTCATCTCCATTTCAAGGCCATTGAGCCAGCGCTGTCCGAAGACATTTCTGTGGTCATGTGGTCAGCATGATGTCACGGAACACCGTTACCTTCCCACCGAAGTGGCACCTATTTATCTACTCACATAAAGCATGCTTTCAAACTGCTGGGTTGGCAGGAGCTGGGACTCATCCCATCCCGTAACGTGGCACTCGGGTCTTGAACCCAGGCTGCCAGCTTTCCAGCCAACATGCCCGGCGTCTTAACAGCTGAGCCACCACGCTGCCCTCTGTCATCAGTAGGTGAAATAAACTAACTAACTAATAATAATAATAATAATAATAATATTTAGCTTTGTTATATGCTGCCCGGAATTGCTTATTTGGTGATGAGAACAGATATGTAAATTAGGAGAAATAAATCAGCTTTTGCTTCCCTGATCAGCAATCCACACAGAAACATCCTTTGCTACTGATCCTGATCAGTTTTATTTCCAAACTATGATTCAACTTCTTCTTTGACTAAGTTAGACCACTAGTAAATCTAGCTTAATCTTAAATACACCCGCCTTTCTAATCCTGGGTGCTCTCCTAGAGTGTGGGCCTAAACATCACCACACAGCCAGCAAGGCCGTTGCTAAGAATTCTGGGAGTTGAAGTCTACACATCTGGGAAATTTCCTGGGTTGGGAAATATTAAGCTGACTTGAGCAGCAGAGGTTGTTGTGCCAGCTAAGAACAGGATGGACTTGTGCCTTAATTTATGCATACGATTTTATACAGGCACTCGTAGCATCGACCTAGATCAGCTCAGATTATCCTACCACAAATAACGCACACGCCAGAAATATACCAAATAGATAACTGAAATATTAATACTGAAAACAATAAGGTGATGCCCAGGGTTTACGAAGGTGGCTCTAGCATTGAGCTGTGTTTCTCTTCACAATTGTAACATCCATGTTTAAGGGAGGCAATGAAGGAAGGCAGTGACATCTGCAGGACGAAAGCTTTAATGCTTTTAACATCCGTTGCATTGTCTGATCCATTATGTTGCTCCAAGACGTATCTCTGAGTTGCCTGTGTGTGATCTGACTCACTTCAGAAAAATAGATGCTCCATTGGATGGCTGGTAGTGGCAACCGTTGATTTATGACCCTGTTCATACAAGTTATTATCAAGTGATTTGAAACCACATTAAATAAAATAATTGGGATTCATGCATAGAAAACAGACAAGCGTAGCCATTCCTGGGAGGCAATTGTATCAGGGGTGAAATCCAGCAGGTTCTGACAGGTTCTAGAGAACTGGTAGCAGAAATTTTGAGCAGTTTGGAGAACCGGCAAATACCACCTCTGGCTGGTCCCAGAGTGGGGCAGGGATGGAGATTTTGCAATATCCTTCCCCCAGGAGTGGGGAGGGAATGGGGATTTTGCAGTATCCATCCCCTGGAGTAGGGTGGGAATGCAGATTTTGCAATAACCTTCCCCTGGAGTGGGAAGGGAATGGAGATTTTGCAGTATCCTTCCCCTGGAGTAGGGTGGGAATGCAGATTTTGCAGTATCCTTCCCCTGGAGTGGGGACGGAATGGAGATTTTGCAGTATCCTTCCCCTGGAGTAGGGTGGGAATGCATATTTTGCAGTATCCTTCCCCTGGAGTGGGGAGGGAATGAAGATTTTGCAGTATCCTTCATTGGTGCGCACGGCCACGTTGCGAACCGGTAGTAAAGGTAAGTAGAACCCACCCCTGGTATCCTTCCCCTGCCACGCCCACAAGCCACGCCCACCAGGCCACACCACTCCCACAAGCCATGCCCACAGAACCGGTAGTAAAGAAATTGGTATTTCACCACTGGTCTACATTCTTCCAACTAGTTCTCATAAGTATTAATTATTTCACAGGTATTGGGGAATCAAGATAATTTCCTTCTCAATTAAATTGACTAGTCCCGCAGGCAGATAGATAACCATTTTTAAACCAACCGACATAAGGAAAATTCCCATGTTTTACAAGTGATTATTAGTTATTGCACATACACAAACAAACATGTTGGGAACCATATTCATCCTCACAATTCTAAGCATCTCTCAAGAAAACAACCAAAAGCCTTGTTAAGTGAAAAATATATTTTATTTTTTAAAACAATAGCTGCCAGCAGTTTGCCAGTATATCTCTAAAAGATATTCCAGAAAAGTGAAAAGAAGCATCTTACAATATGTCATACGGATTACCGGGTATCTCTCAAAAGCCAAATAAATACCTTGCTCACTCTATGAAGTTTAAAGTGTTATTGGATAATAATATTTTCAGATATAGTCAGAAGATAGTAAATTTGGCTTTTAACTAGGAAACTGGCTTCATAAGAGATAAATCTTTCTCCTTTAGTCACAGTTGAAAGAAACAAGGTATTAGTGTTCAGCATTAACATTTGATTTAGCACTGTGAACAGAAAATATATATAAATCGAAGTCAGGTTTTAAGAAAAAGGCAGAATTTGTGTACAAAGCTAATTTTAACTTTTACGTGGCCCCCAGTACACATATAACTGTATACATGCAGCATCAAGGCATAAACCATTAATTTTTAAAAAGGCACAGCAACAGTTCAATTCCTTTGGTGAATATTCCATTTGCAATATTTCTTCCCCCTTGTTTATTTTTTATCAATGTCTACCACATAATCAGAACACATATAAACAAACCATGCTCCATTCCGATTTACGCTCTCACGGAAAACAGTGAGATCAAAGGATGTGTTTGGAGCACATACTGGTTTCTGTCTAAATAAAAAAAATGAAATATTGCAAGGGCTTCACAACTTTGGTGAGGAAATTCAACATGTTCCTGTTACATAAAATTCTATTTGCTGAACTGACAAACAACATTTTTCTTGGAAAGCATGTTACTGACGCCTGTTGAAAGTTTTTACCGCAACTTTAGTGACGTTTGAGTATATCAGCAATATTTTCTCAGCCAGCAAAATATTGCTGTCATGTTCAAGACCAGGGGTCTCCAACCTTGGCAACTTTAAGACTTGTGGACTTCAACTCCCAGAATTCCATAGCCAGCTTTGCTTTGCTGGCTGTGGAATTCTGGGAGTTGAAGTCCACAAGTCTTAAAGTTGCCAAGGTTGGAGAACCCTGTTCAAGACAACAGTTCCCAGCTAGCTCAAGGAGTTTTAGGTGAGGGTCCTATATACAATTCTGTTGTGAAGATAAAGTGGGGGGAAATGCCCCCTAAAAATGGCTAAAATATTGCAAGATTGGCCTTCTCGCTCGAAATCCTATAAGTCTTAAGGTGAATTGCTCAATATCCCATAAAATTTTAGGTAGGAACAACAAAATATTGTGAAATTTGGCAGCTCTTGATATATCTAGTTCACTTTCAAGAAAAATGTGGGCATCAAAGAATGATGGTGTCACTCTTTCCTTGCACACTAGTCTTTCCTGCAAACCCCTAGATTTGACTTCTGCGTAAACTATATTTTCATGAGTTGGAAGCTCACAGAATTGTATAGAGAATTTGCAAAGGTTTGGGCCTCATCGGCTACATCTATGAACATCCCCGTGATCGTGTGCTCAAAATTCAGACGCTTGACAACTGGTTCATATTTAGGACTGTTGCTATGTCCCAAGATCATGGGATCCCCTTTTGCGATCTTTTGACAAGGTAATTCCTCAAAAGGTAAATCACAATAAATTCAGTGGGGTTTGTACTCTGCAAATTGGTCAGCAAAAGCTTAAAATGAAGGATGCTCCCTTGCAAACAGTAAGACGATTTGCATTTCAAAGATAAAAGATCAATGTAAAAATTAAGAATGTTTTTTTTTAAATAAATCCCACATAAGCAAGACCGTTTTGGAGCTTATTATTCATAGCAATTTAAAATAAACGGAAAAGTCATTCCGTGCCTCAAGCACTGGCCTTTTAAATGGAAGGAAATCAAATGTATTGGTCTTTTGAAATTGAATTACAGCGTTGTTCCTTGATGCTGTTATAAGTGGGGAAAAAAACACAGCTGACCTTTTGATATATCGTGATTGCGGCATGAAAAATAATCGATCGGGTAAAGAGATATGGAGCTACTCTCTTCTCTTCCTTTCTCCTGTTCTTCTAACTTTTGCTTTTCCTATATTTTGTATCTTATAGTGATGCTTAATAACATTTATTAAGAGGTAGGAGACAGATAAATCCCAATGTAAAACTTTAATAAAAGAATGGAAAAGGCACTTGGCTTTGCTTCGCAGGAAGAATTACAGTGAGGGAACTACGCAGGTTGTCTAGGTAAGGCAAATAAACTGATTTTTTAAAGAACGCTTGCCTGAAAATTAGAAATAAAACAGTAGATTTTAGCAAGATTCTGACCTTTGCAAAAAGCAAGAAGGATGCACCTCAGACATTAAGCTACTGTATTTTTGTGGAGACCTGCAGGGATGTTGCTCAAGGAAGTCAAGATGGACATGACAACCAAACAATCAAAGCCTTACCCCCTTGCTAATTTGCATCAGAATGCATTGTGGTTTGAATCACAGGTTTGTGGCCTCCACCTTGATTTTTCTGAGCACTCGTCCTATGGACACTCCTATGTACTTCTAGCCAGCATAGCTTTGACTGTTACTTAAGAAATGAGTTCTGCATTCTGACAAGTCCCTTATTGACCTAAAAAGAAATCACTTGCTATTATTGTGTTTCCCCAAAAATAAGACCCTGTCTTATATTTTTTTGAACCCTGAAATAAGCACTTGGCCTTATTGCCATGCGCTCAAAAGCCCGAATGGGCTTATTATCAGGGGATGTCTTATTTTGGGGGAAACAGGGTATAAGCTTGGGAATTTGTCTGATTGTTTATAGGGATACCTAGCTTCTAAAAAAAGACCACCAGATTCTAAGCTGATCATCCAGATCATCCAAAGTTGGCAACTTTTATGATAGGTGGACTTTAACTCCCAGAATGCTGAGAGTTGAAGTCCACTCATCTTAAAAAGTTGCCAAGTTTGAGAAACAACTGATCCAGAATCAAAACACAAAACGCTGGACTTGTGTGAGAAAATATTCGGTGAACGTGCATTTTCCGTTCACCTTCCTCCTCCTCACACTAGGTTGGCAGAAGCTAGGACAAGTAACGGGAGCTCACCCCGTTATGCGGCACTCGGGACTCAAACCGCTGAACTGCCGACCTTTCGATCGACAAGCTGCGCCACCGCGTCCCTATACCATGGTTTTACTGCCCTCTTAATGGCTGCATTTGCCCTTTTACAGGAGGCAAAACAAAATAAGCCGTGTAAATATAAATTTGCATTTCACAAAAGGGAGAAAGATAAATGACAATGCCTGGTCTGCCCAGTGTAGCACTTGAATTAACTGCAAGATACATGCAAAGTAAATGGCTATCTTAAAAGACCAAAAAAAAAAAAAAAAAGAAAAAAAGAGCAGTCTGTTAAAAAAAGCTTTTGCTTATACATGTGTAACAACGCCGCTTTTTTTTTTTAAGCGAGTCTTTTAGCTACGTCGCTGTAGGCGATTTCAATCTCTTTGTCTCCAGGACAAGTGTTGGTGAATTCATCACGGCTATAGGCGTTCTTCAGGTATCTCCAGATGCCCGTCAGAGACTTGGGAATATCAAAGTTGCGATACTTTTTGGCCACAATCTAGGAGCAAAGAAAGAACTGGGTCTCAGTAGGGTGTTTTGGAGAAACTTTTTTTTTAATTTTTAAACAAACAAAAGATAAAAAATCCATTTTTCATAACAATTGCAAACAGTGTGTCGATCAGTTACAAATCCTTTGTGCTTCCTCCCATATTCATATTTTACAAATTATCTAATTGCTCATATTGTCAACCTTATGTATATCTTTACATCATTATCCTCATTTATTATTTATCCAACAATGGCATTATCATTCTAAAAAAAACCGAAAATTATTTTCACATATTATATTTTAACATACATTTTGTATTTCATATTTCGTTCCCATGTTTTAGTATCTAGCCATTGATAAAATAAATCCCATATCCTATAATATTGTTTATCTTCTTGTTCTCTAATTTCAAATGTCAATTTACTCATTTCAGCACATTCTATGATTTTCTTAATAACTTCTTCTTCCGTTGGTATCTTCTCATTTTTGGAGAAACTTGAGGCCTGAGAAAGACCTGGAACTTCTCTGAGACCCACCAACACAGCATTTAATTCACTGGATTTCCTGCAGAAAGCCTCCAAATAACACACCAATGCACACTTTAGCAACTTTAAGATGTGTGAACTTCAACTCTCAGAATTCCCCAGCCAGGGAACCTAAAGTTACCAAGTTTGAAAAAAATGCTGATTTAAATAAATATGAGGCTATCTGTTTCAGGAACTTCTTTTAACTTCCAACTGATTCAGTATTCATCTTGCAAATTCTAAATTAGCCGGAAACACAAGGGTTTCAGAAAGAATGACAGTTTAAACCGCTTTTCAGTTTCATGGATTTAGTGGAAACTTTTAGCATTAAATCCCAAAGGTGTTTTTTTTCAAAAGGCAACTGGACGTCCTTGGTTATTTTTCCTTGAAAAATTCCTCTTTCTCATCCAAGAAGCTTCAGTTCATTTCAGAACTGAAGAAGCTTCTGGAGATGAGAAGGAAAACAACCGAGAAAGCCCAGCTGCCTTTGGCCTCAACCATGACTTGGATGATTGAGAATCTCCATAGACATTTAGACTAGCGTTAAATCTCAATGCAGGCTTGTTTCAGTTCTTGTGTCCGATTCCAACTTACTTTGACGATATGCAACTTGGGTAACAAGTTGCAATCTGCTAGCGTCATCTCATTCCCATCCAGGAATTTGCGCGTGGAGGCAGGGATGTCTTCCATGCTGTTCTCGTCAATCTCATCAGGGAGGGGACTGATTAAGTACTCGTCCAGCTTCTGTAGAGTTTTCAAAAGACCCCTCTCTAAGGCTGTAGGGGAAAAGGCAACAGGGGAAGGGGAAAACAATAGTGAAGGATTAGAGCAGTGATGGCAAAACTTTTCGGCACTGAGTGACGAAAAGGGAGTGGGCGCACGCTTCTGGACTGCAACCTGGAAGGGGAGCTGCCCAGGGCGCACGCACACGCCCAAAAATTACCTTCCCTACTGGTTCGCAAATGTGCGCAAGTTGTGCGTGCGCTCGTTCGCTCACCCGCGCCATCGTCCGTGCATGCACAAAGCCTCCTGCGCATGCGCAGAGGCTGAAAATCATCACAAAAAAGGGAAGTCATGATGTCCGCGTGGGTGGGGCAGGGCTTCGTGCAGTCAGTCCTACCGTATCGCGCGATCCGGATAGAACCAGCTGAATTTCACCCCTGGCTTCCTGTATTGGACTGTTTCTTTTGACATTTATTTTAATTATTGCTTTCGGTATTTTTGTTTACTTTTATTTATTCATTGGATTTCCATGCCGCTCATCTCACTAAAACAGGTAGCCCTCGACTTACAACAGTTCCTTTAGTGATCTTTGGGAGTTAAAACAGCACTGAAAAAAACTGACCTGTGACAGTTTTTCACTTATGACTCTTGCCCATGACCACCTGTTCAAAATTCAGACTCTTGGCAACTGATTCATTGCAATGTGATCGTGTGATCCCGTTGCAACCTTCTGTCAACCGAAGTCAATGGGGAAACCAGATTCCTTTTACAACTGTGTTACTAACTTAACAACTGGAGTGATTCACTTAACAACGGTGGCAAGAAAGGCCATAAAAGGTGAGGCAGTTTAGTCCCTTTGCTTGTGCTTTTTTTTTTTTTTGGCCAAAATCTCCAGAACACCACCAGGTGGCGCTCTTGTTCAACCCAACTTCACTTCTTGCAAAAACCTGGGCTAAAAACAGAAGTTCCCGACCTTCTCTCATTTCAAACAGCATGAAAGATCTGGAGACTTAACAGAAACATTAAAATGAGCAGTATCTTATTTACATAAGCCTGCAGTTACAGAAGTAAAGTGCCTCCGTAGGAAATTAGCACCCACCCCTTTCCTAGAAGAATGAAATATTTTAGGAAATATTAAAAAGGCAGAATATTATGTTTCCCTGGATGAGAAATGGAGAAACATGTTTAAAAGACGAAGCAGCTCCCACCTTCCTGCTCTCACCCTTTGTCAATGGGCCAGAGGCAGAAACTCAATCTTTGTCAGTGGACCATCATCTGCAACACAATAGGACCCATCTAGTAACAGAAACTAACACAATAGGACCCATCTAGCAACAGAAACTCACCACATGGCACCTGGGAAGATTACATCAGCCAGCACGGCCAGCTAAGACCCCCACCGCCTGGGAGTCTGACAACCAATCAGGATACTCTTTCTGGAAGTTCAAAGCCAGAGGGGGCATAAAACCAAGGCACGCTCAGCATCTCGCCCTTTTCTGTTCAGGAAATCAAACCATGTGATCCTGTCCACCATTAAACCATCTTTCCAAGCAGTCTCCATGTTTCCAGTGTCTTTTTCCCCACCTGGAGCTGAACCCAGAAGGATATTTCTTCCAACACCTCTAAGAATTCCCAACTGCCGTACTTGGTTTCGATTTTTCGATTTTTGTTTTGATTAAGTTTTGGGGAGCAGAGCACACTTTATTGATTCTCTAGGGCAAATGTGGTCTCTCTAATTTTAAGACTTGATGTCCTTCATCCCTATAAAGCCTACAATTATTTACAAGAGGTCCGAAGGAAGGCTACATATAGTTATTTGCATGGCAAGCAGCTTATAAAGATTAAAAGAGTTGGAATGGACCTTGGAGGTCTTCTAGTCCAGGGGTCACCAACCTTTCGGACCTCAGGGACCACTAAATTCATAATTTTAAATCCCGCAGACCACTAATATGATCTGCCTAATGACCGGCTGGGTGGGTGTGGCTTAGTGGTCATGTGACTGGGTGGGTGTAGCCAACTCAATGTCATTCACGTTGAGGAATGCCTCGCCAACCTCTACTCACCCCTCCCCTCCCAACCACTCCTCACCTGCCTGCCCTGGCTCCTTAGAGCCCCAACAGGAAGCAGTTGTTGGAGCTAAGCAACCACCACAAGAAAGAGTTGGCAAAACAGCTCAGTTCAAATTGGATCTGGCTAAGAAGGAGGCTCAGCCAAAGCACCTCACTGAGGACTATGAGCATAGGCTTTTCAAACAGAGTGAAGACCTGTGGGAGTGCAAGGTCAGATACCGGCGCCTGGAGGCTCAGTGGGCTGAGATGATCAGCCAGTTCCAGGCCATGATGCAGTCCCACTGGAACAAGGCCCTCCGGCTCTTCGCCACCAGCAGCAGTTCCCTCCAGCCTTTGCCCAAAGCCCCACACCAATAGCCTGAAGCAGACCCCAAATCAGAATTTCTGTCCCTCTCTAACCCACACAAGAAGACCCTGAAGAGGAAGACTCTCTGCAGCAACACAAATGTTGCACATATCTGTCCCAGAGGATCCCTGATTTAGTGCAATATAAAAAATGCAAATAATTTTTCTGCGGACCACCAAAATTTTCTCACGGACCACCAGTTGGTGACCGCTGTTCTAGTTCAACACCCTGCTCAAGCAGGAGACCCTACACCATGTCAAACAAATGGCTGTCCAATCTCTTCTTAAAAACCTCCAGTGTTGGAGTATTCACGACTTTTGGAGGGAAGCTATTCCACTCATCAATTGTTCTCACTGTCAGGAAATTTCTTCTTAACTACCAAATGCAGAATAACAGAGTTGGATGGGATCTTGTAGGTCTTCTAGTCCAACACCTTTACTCAAGTGCTCTGCCTTTGACAAGCGGAATCTGTTCCTTCTCTGTGGGGGCACCCACTATCTGGAACGAGCTTCCCCCGGAGATATGGAGGATCCCGGATCTGCGCACTTTCTGCCGTGCTCTTAAGACCCTCCTATTCCAGCAAGCCGGCCTGGCCTAATTTTCTCCCCTTTCTTTTAAATTTTTTAAATTGAAATTTTAATTTGTTTTAAATTATTGGGATTTTTTATTTTTTTTAGGCTAAATTATTTAATTTGGTTTTAATTATGTTTTAACTTTTGTATTTATATATTTTATTTTGTGCCTGTTCACCGCCCTGAATCCTTTGGGAGTAGGGCGGTATATAAATTTAATAAAACAAAACATAAAATAAACAAACTTCCTGTCCTGCCTTCAGGTGCTTTGGAAAATAGGTTGACCCCCCCCCCCTCCCTCTTCTTTCTGGCAGCCTCTCAACACAAAAGTGGAAAGCAGAGAAAATACCTTTGGAAGAAGAAGTAATAACAAAAAATTTAAGATTGTGCAGAAATGAACAGATTAAACTCTGATGATTAAGGATAGAGAAGAGTCAGAATATTTTAAGATATGGAATCATCTTTATTATTGGTTGGAAAAGAGAGATAAATGATTAATTTCACAACTATGTATAAAAATGTGAAAGACTAGAATATTATTTTAGGGATGAATCGGCACAATGGACTGGATAAGGATCAAGATAGAAGAAATCACATACTCATAGAAGAAGAAGAATTCTGGAAGATAACACTGAAATGTCACAGGGAAGGAATAACTGATGTATTAAATGTTTGTTTGTCTAAAAAATACAAAATTAAAAAAAAAATATTGGAAGAACTGCTATCATATGACCCTAGTCCCCATGATGGCACACGTGCCAGAAGTGGCATGCAGAGCCCTCTCTGTGGACACGCATGCCGTCGCCAGCTGCTCTTCTGGTTTCGTGTGCCAGCCAGCTGGTCTTTGCATGAGCTGGAGCGCCAGAAACCCAAAGACCGGCTAGCTGGTGCGCACATGTGCACCGGCCAGCTGGTCTTCGGGTTTTTGGTGCACATACATGCATGCGTGCACACGTTCCAGTTTGGGCACTCGGTGCCGAAAAGCTTTGCCATCACTGCCCTAATCGTTCTCTTTGTTAGACTAGGCCAGTGATGGTAAACCTTTTTGGCACTGAGTGCCCAAATTGGAACGTGTGCACGTGTGCATGAGTGTGCCGCATGCCAGAGCACCATAAATCCGAAGACCAACTGGCTGGCGCCCATGTGCGCACCAGAAACCAGAAGAGCAGCTGGCAACAGCGTGTGTGCCCACAGAGAGGGCTCTGCATGCCACCTCCAGCACATGTGCCATAGGTTTGCCACCACGGGACTAGGCACACCCAGTTTCCATAACTGTTCATCGTATCCTCCTCCAGACCCCTAATCTAACCCCCCCAATAATATCGCCAGGAAAATAACTCCAACAGCTGGATCCCAATTAACCCTGATGCACAATGGCTCCTAGTGTTACAGGCCATGTGAGGCAATATCTTCCTTTTCCTGGAGGTGAAGCATGAGTGATTCTGCAGAATGATGGCGTTCAGAGCTCCCCATCTTATTTGCATTCTGCTTTGCTTACTGTAGCCTTGTTTCGTCTGAGGCAACACCGAAAGGAACTGATGGCAATTCAGAAGTTCCATATGCCGAGAGGTTGCATTGGCCACAGTGGTGAAATCTGAACCGGTTTGCTACTGGTTTGCTGGCTACACATGCGCAGTATGTGCCAAGCACGCACACAGGCGCAGTATGCATTCGCGTTACGCGCCAAATGGAGGGTTGGGAAGGTAAGTAGAGGAGCGAGGGGGGGAGTGGAAATCAGGAGAACCAGTAGTAAAAAAATGCTTTAAATAAGTTTTTAAAAGGGTTCCGAAGATCATGCGCCACAACTGTGATCGACGCAACCCTTTTTTTTTTTTCCCCACCTTTTTAAAGCATTTTTTAATACCGGTTCCGGAGAACGGGTAGTAAAAAATGCTTAAAAAGTTTAAAAAAAAAAAAAAAGTTCCAATGATCACAGCTGTGGCGCTCTAGAACCAGTAGTTAAAAATGCTTTAAAAAGTTTTTAAAAAAAAGTTCCAACCATCGCGCGTCATTCAACTGATCTTCGGATCTTTTTTTTTCTTCTCCTTTTTACTACCGGTTCAGGCGAACCGGCCCAAACCGGTAGCATTTCACCCCTGATTTGCCACCAACACACCATGCACGAATGCTGGTTTCTGGGACGTTAAATAAAGGACCTTGTCCGTGTGCAGGAAAAAGTATTCTCTTCCCAGCTCTTGGCAATTCAGAAGAAATGCATTTGAGTTTTACAGCACGGAGGTGGGAGTGGGGAATACACTGCCCTTTATAATTTCTGCACTGGCCGTCATACAGGTTTGTGCCAATCTGGGAAATTACGAAACGAGTGGTGCTGCAGAAGCTATTTCACTCCCACTTTGGAAATGAACTTGTGTGTTTCCCCTGTTTCTCTACTCGTTGTGTAGCCAAGCCCAGAGCAACGGATTTCCATACAATTCTGTGCATCGACAGAAAAGCCCCAGAAATTAAGTTATGGTTGGAGGAAATGATACAACAACGTATGGATTTAAAACCAGAGCTATTCCTATCGGGTATCTTACCAGAGAAAATTAGTAAAGATAATATATATTTGATTATACATGTAATAACAGCGGCAAGGATTGTTTATGCACAAAACTGGAAAGTAGAGAATATACCATCGGAGGGAGAAGTAATTAAAAAATTTTTTTTAGATTGAGCAGAAATGAATAGATTAACCATGATATGGTTTAAGATATGGAATCAATTTTATTATTGGTTAGAAAAGAGATACAAATAAGTTTTAAAAGAGATTGGGGAAAAAATTGTTGTAATTAGAATACTATATTAGTGGAAAATCTTTGTAACGGACTTGGTGAGATCGAGGACAGAAGAGATAGAGAAGAGAAGAAACTTTTTGAAGATAGCACCGAAATGTCACATGGAAGAAATGAATGATGCACTAAATGTTTGTTTGTCTTAAAAAATAAAAAACCTTTTTTTAAAAAAAGAAAAGAAAAGCCCCAGAAAATAATATGAGATTAAGGTTTTTGTTTCCTGTGAAATTCAGCACGAAAGCGCGATTCTAGCAGTGTGAGTCAAAGTGGACTTTTTGAATTTGTGTCAAGAACAGAATTAAATTGACACACAAACCACAGATGCACTGGAGGGGAGTTTTCCCCCTTAAATACAAAGCATAGATGAACTGTGCCATTGAATATATCTGAAGCATCTTCCTAGGAAAGTGCAGCCACGAGGAAGATGAATTTTGGAAATACTATACTTTGAAGGGTCTTTGGTGTTCTCTGAGCACCGGACCCCTCATTCCAACCCCTGAGCCAAAAATATTCTCCTTTTATTAATAAAGGAGCTCTAATTCAGGGGTGTGAAACACAAGGCCCGTGGGCTGGATGTGGCCCGTGATGTGGTGAGATCTGCCCCACGGATCTTCTTCTGTCAGTGAGAAGAATTAATCAGTGGAACGACTTGCCTCCAGAAGTGGTGGATGTTCCAAAGCTGGAGATGTTGAAGAAGAGATTGGACAGCCATTTGTCTGAAATGGTATAGGGTCGTGATGGCGAACCTATGGCACGCGTGCTGGAAGTGGCACACAGAGCCATTTCTCCTGGCACGCCAGCCGTCGCCTGTTGCTATTTTGGGTTCCAGCGCACACATGCATGTCAGAAACAGGAAGACCAGGTGACTGGCGCACATATGCATCCCGGAAACCGGAAGCTCAGCTTCCTGGCACGCACCTGCTCTTCTGGTTTCCGGTGCTCCCCCGTGTGCGCGCATTCCCATTTTGGCACTCGGTGCCGAAAAGGTTCACCAACACTGGTATAGGGTTTCCTGCCTAAGCAGGGGGTTGGACTAGAAGACCTCCAAGGTCCTTTCCAACTATTCCATTCCATTCCATTCCATTCCATTCCATTCCATTCCATTCCAGTCCAGTCCAGTCCAGTCTATTCCCATTCTATTCCATTCCATTCCATTCCACTCTCCACTCCACTCCACTCCACTCTATCTACTCTATTCTATTCTAAAGTTGTGCAACACCCAAATATAGGCAGGACCTCGACATGCCATCTTAATTGTTGTTGCCATTTTAGAAGAGACCCATTTGAAGTAGAGGTTAGCTTGTTTCTGCCCCCTGCTTCCTCTCCGCTAACAGAAACATTCCTACTTCAGCTGCTTTCTTCTTGCCCTGTTGCAAAGATGCCTCTGGAAGGCCTTGAGGTGAAGTAAGCAGACTGGTGAGTCAGAACAGGAAATAATTCACCCCTTTTCTGCTCCTGACACAGCTGCAATAGAGGCCAGGAGGGTTCATCACCTGCTTCTGTGTGACATGCAGCTTCCCTGGTGCTGGTTAGGGGTGTTGAAGTCTAATATAGTGGAATATCACTCATTTGGGGGAAAACTCTTTAAAAAAAAAAAAAAAACCTACTTTCTTGGGACAGGGCAGGGGAAAAATTAGACTAGATCAGGGGTGGGCAACTGTGGCCCTTTTAGAACCTGTGGACTTCAACTCCCAGAATTCCTGAAACAGCTTGACTGTCTCAGGAATTCTGGGAGTTGAAGTCCACAGGTTCTAAAAGGGCCACAGTTGCCCACCCCTGGACTACAGGTATCCTTGATTTATGACTTATTGAGCCCAAAATTTCTGCTACTAAGTGAGACAGTTGTTAAATGAGGTTTGCCCCTCCCCATTTTATGACTTTCCTTGTCACGGTTGTTAAGCGAATCACTGCGGTTGTTAAATTAGTAACACCGTTGTTAAGTGAATCTGCTCTCCCCACGGACTTTGCTTGTCAGGAGGTCGCAAAAAGGGATCATGTTGTACCGAGGACACCGTAACAATAATCATAAATATGAACCAGTTGCCAAACATCTAAATTTTGATCATGTGACCGTGAGGGATGCTTCAACAGTCATAAGTGTGAAAAACAGCCGTGTCACTTTTCTCAGTGCCGTTGTAACTTTGAACGGTCAGTAGATGGACTGTTGTAAGTCAAGGACTACTTGTATGTTTACAGAGAAAAAGCTTCCTTCATCATTATGACTAACTAGCTGGACGCCCGTGCTTCGCTACAAAATTATGTGCTCGGACTTGATAAATTGACACTTACAGCCTGAAGCTTAATGTAGAATGTGTAACTCCGTAGCATTGGATGTGTTAATATAATGCAACTGGCAGTTGGAACAGAGGGGGTTGGGGAGTAGAATGTCCCAGCCCGCAGCATCCATCGGTATTCATCTGGCTAGCATCCTGTCAGTGTGTGAGAGAGTCGAGGGGTGTTTGGAAACTCAACCAGTATTTGCTGTGTGAGCAAGAAGGAGACAGGAAGGAGGCTGGGCGTGGCTTAGCTCCACTATTCTGTAGTAAAGCTGCTTCCTGCTGTGAAAGTAAAACTGAAACTCCTCTCCTCTGCTTGTGTTTTGCATTTGGAACAGATTTCTTTTGAAGTGGGGAGAGGGAGTATAATTCCTTAGCATCAGAGCGTCTTAATAATAATATGGGAAATACTAATGCTCTGATGATCATTTCGAAAAATCCTTTCTTAGTGAGCACCTAGAAGCCAAGAGGAACATATGTGGCAAATTTCAAGTTTGTAGGCTTTACGGTTCTGGAGATTTTGTGATTAATGCGTGAGTGGTTTTCGCTTTTCTATAGATAGATAGATAGATTGGAGCAAGCATCCCTAATGCTACATAACAGGGTGCAGTATTGCAGCTACTTCAGCTGACTGCTAGTTCAGCAGATCAGTGGATCAAATCTCACCGGCTCAAGGTTGACTCAGCCTTCCATCCTTCCGAGGTGGGTAAAATGAGGACCCAGATTGTTGGGGGCAATATGCTAATTAGTATACTGTCATTGGTGTAAGCCGCCCAGAGTCCTCGGAGAGTGGGCGGCATGGAAGTATTATTATTATTATTATTATTATTAATAATAATAATAATAATAATAATAATAATAATATTATAATAATAATAATAATAATAATAATAATAATAATAAAAAATAACAATATAAAAAAAACAGCATGGATTTCCTACCTTCATTGGCTTCAGGTCTGGAATTCTTGATAAACGCTGAAAATTTAGCAAAAATGTCCATTCCAGCAGTATTTGATTCTGGGTGTTTTGCTGAAAGCTTTATATACCTGAAAGAGTTTAAGTGACAGCATGAGCTAGGATACAGGATTACACCTCTCCATTTATTCCTTATAACATTCATTATTAATAACATCCTTTTCAATACTGATTTGTGACACTCCCAACATTTGATTTTGATCCCATATCCACTTAAGAAGTCCATAAAATGATGCTTAGGGTTGAAATATCCAGCATACTGGTAGTACTCAATTTACAACAGTTCATTTAGTGACTGTTCAAATTTACAACAGCCCTGAAAAAAAGTGACCATTTTTCACACTTATGACTGCTGCAGCATCCCCATGGTCATAGGATCAAAATTTGAATGCTTGGCAACTGGCTTATACCGTGTTTCCCCGAAAATAAGACCCTGTCTTGTATTTTTTTTTTGAACCCTGAAATAAGCGCTTGGCCTTATTGCCATGCGCTCAAAAGTCTGATTGGGCTTATTATCAGGGGAATGTCTTATTTGGGGGAAAACAGGGTATTTATGACGGTTGTAATGTCATGTGAGCCCCTTTTGGGACCTTCTGAAAGCAAAGTCAATGGGGAAGCCAGATTCACTTAACAGTTGTATTTCCTAACTTAACAACTGCAGTGATTCACTCAAAATTGTGGCAAGGTAGGTCGGCAAAATTAACTTAAAACCGCCTTGCTTGCCAACATAAATTTTGGGGGCTCAATTGTGATCGTAAGTCGAGGACTACCTGTACTCCAATTCTGTATTACTAGGTCCCTTGAATTTTAACTGCTCTTTGCAGACTCAGCTCAAATTTGGCCACGGCCTAAAAGGGTGGAAGGCAGTTAAGATTGTGAAATGAAGTTTATTCAATATTAAAATGGGGGCAGGGGAGGAAGAGAAGGTCGATCGTGCAAACGCTGGGTCCCAGAGGCCCTAAAATACCCAGTAAACCCCAATAGCAGCTCGCAGGTGTCACGCTAGTCTGAAAATCATTGTTCTGCTTGCTTTGTTCCACAGCTCTTACCAACAGGAAATTCTTCCTGATATTGTCTGAATCTCCTTTCTTTTAATTTGAAGCCCCCGGTCTTTGTCGGATTCTGAATTTCAATGAATAGATCCTGCAGCAACCTCTTGCAACCAACAACTAAAGCACTATTTTTTTTCCTGTTTTACCCCATCTTTATTATGTATTATCGTATTTTTTGGAGTATAAGACGCACCTTTTTCCCTCTTAAAAGAGGCTGAAAATTTGGGTGCGTCTTATACTCTGAATGTAGCTTTTTCAAAGCTTTTTTTCAGCCCTAACGAGGCCCTAACGAGGCCCTAGCGAGTGATCTTCCCAGCTTTGCCTGCTCCCTCGACTCTCCAGCTGTGCGATCTCCCAACTCTCAGCTGTTCTTTAGAAGCTTTTTTTCAGTCCTAACTAGGTGCTAGCTGAGTGAAGCGATCCCCCCCCCCAATGATTTACCTGCTTTTCTCATTGCTGTTTCCTCCCAGCTGTGCCTTAGAAGCTGTTTTTTATCCCGAAGCAGCGGATAAAAAACTAGCAAACTAATGTGCTGAAGATGACCAGACTAAGGACGCTAGCCAGATGAATAGGTAGGCAGATTTTTTCCCTATTTTCCTTATTTATTTATTAGTTCAATTTATTATTAGTTCAATTTATATGCCGTCTTTCTCCGGAGACTCAGGGTGGCTTACAATGCATTTAAAAAACCATTATAAAAACATTTAAAATTAAAATATTAAAACTCATGCACACCATTCATGGCCAGATCTCACAAGATCACAACAGCGAGATCAACGGTCCCAGGCCTGCCAGAAAAGCCAGGTCTTCACCGCTTTTCGGAAGGCCAATAGGGTGGGAGTGGTCCGGACCTCAGGAAGTAACTGGTTCCAGAGAGCTGGGGCAGCCACAGAGAAGGCCCTCCCCTGAGGGCCCGCCAGCCAGCATTGTTTAGCTGATGGGACCCGGAAGAGACCAACTCTGTGGGATCTTACCGGTCAATGGGAGCTATGCTGTAGAAGGCGGTCTCGAAGATACCCTGGCCCTGAGCCATGTAGGGCTTTAAAGATAATAACCAACACCTTGAATTGTGTCCGGAGACCAATAGGGAGCCAGTGCAGCTCACGGAGAATTGGTGTAATGTGGGTGTATCTAGGTGCACCCACTATAGCTCGCGCGGCTGCATTCTGGACCAACTGTAGTCTCTGAACACTTTTCAAGGGTAGCCCCATGTAGAGTGTGTTGCAATAATCTAACCGTGAGGTGACAAGGGCATGAGTGACTGTGAGGAGAGCCTCCCAAAAACTAAGCTGCATCTTATACTCCGGTGTGTCTTATACTCCGAAAAATACGGGTAAATAACTCAAGGTGGCAAACATAGTCACTATTCCTTCCTCCTCCACTTTTTCCCCCAAACAACTCTGTGAGGTGAGATGAAAGAGTGATTGGCCCAAAGTCAAGAGAGGACCAGAACTCCCCATCTCCTGGTGCCCTTCATCACTAAACCAAACTGGTTCTCTATAAAATCAGGTCCAGATTTTTTAATGATTATTTGGTGGGCTTGGGGCTCAGTATCCCTTATATCTCTTCTGTGGATCTGTTCTAGTGTAGCTGTCAGTGTTCCAAAGGATGCCCTAATTAAATCATGAGTCTCAAGCCAAACTTCAAAAGAAATCCAGTTATTTATTAGGAGCTTCATGTCGGCACGTTCCCAAGTGAAGCCAACTCTGACCCTACATAATTTATGCTCCAATTATGACCCTGTTTCCCCCCTCCCCCCAGGGTATGTCATCAATCACATTCGCCAACAGAGCAATTTCGCACTCCCCTCGGCTTCTGTAGGTAACCCTGGGGTACAGCCTTGAGAGAAATAAGCGTGGAATGTGCATCTGTCTTTGGCTGCTGTGCCATTTCGCTGGTTTCCCATCCCGCCTGGCCTATGGCAATTCGAGAGCAGGCCAGGGATGTTTTCCATATCCCTTTCAAAGCGAGATGTCCAGAACTGAATATACTATTTCAAATCTACCCAGGGCAAAGTCACACCCCGTGTGGGTGTGGAAACAGTGTTGTGTAGGACAGGGCTTTTGACTAAAAAGTCAGGTATATTCCTGACTTTTAAAGTTTTAAAATAATAAAAAAATAATTTTAAAATAAAAGTTTTAAAAATAATGAGACAAAAACTGTCTTGGCAAAAGAGAAGCAAGCTTAGAAAGAGCTCTGCCTTTATCCCTACTCTGGCAGTATGAGAACAGTGCTGGCACAGTATTTTCAGTGGTAAATTTCTGGTGTCTTCTCCTCTTATAGATAAGTAGATACCCCAATTTTTTTTCTATCCTGAGAGACTGGCTTATCATGCTTGGGGGAGTCTAATAACATGCAGTTAAGAGGAGAGCAATTATCACGCATCTCCTTTATTTTACTAATCACCTTCCTACCAGTATTCAGAGGAAGAGAAATTATGGATGATGCCCAGCTGCTATTATTTTTCATCTTCTGTATTGTCTTTATTTTAATGTATTTTAATGTAATTTCACCATTTTTTTTTAATAAAGCAAAGATAAAAGATAAAAACGAACAAAAAGCAAGTGGTCAAAAAGAAAAAAAGAGATTAAAAAAGAGAGATAGGGAACTATATACGTGATAAAAGAGGAAAAAAATAAAAATTAGGCAAAGAAACAAAAATGTGTTAAAAAGCGCCCTTCCAACTTCTTTTATAGAAATATGTAGCGATGGTAGTTAAGTACGAGGACTGGTTGTAAGTCCCTTTTCATAAAAATGAGCCACTTGCCAAAATTTTGATCGAGCGACCGTAGGGAATACTGCAACGGTCGTAAGTGTGAGGACCAGTTGCAAGTCACCTTTTTCACCGCAACTTCAAAAGATCGCTAAGTTGCAAGTAGTTGCGGGTGACCTATGCTGGAGCGTGCAGTGCAAACAGCTACGGGTTCAGTGAGCTAAGCCACACTTTTGAGAACCGGCGAGAGGAATGACGGAAAATGACAGCATGAACCTCACTCCCCCTTCCCTTCTACCCAACCCTCTCAATGATACCTACTTGGGTGGGCAGAGAACTTCTTCAAGGAACTCTTCAATCTTGTTCACATCAGTTTTCACTTCGTTATTAAAGGTGATGAAAGGCGGGTGTGTCCCTGGAGCCAAGTTCTGAAGGTCTGCAGGCTTCCTGAGACAGAGAAGTTACATGGTTTACATGAAAAACAGTTCAAGGAATTCCCCAAATCGTAGTTCGCATTGTCATCTGCAACGTAACATGCCCAAGGATCAGGGATGGGCTCCTTAGGGGTTCGGGCGATCCTCTAGCCAAGGATTGCCGGGGTTCAGCGAACCCCCAAATGCCACCCCTGGCTGGCCCCCAACAATTAGCATCCCTGTAATCACATGTTCAAAATTTGGATGCCTGGCAACTGATTCATATTTATGATGGTTGCATGGGATCTCCTTTTGCGACCTTCTGACGAGCAAAGTCAATGGGGGAGTCAGATTCACTTAACAACCATGTTAGTAGCTTAAGAGCTACAGTGATTCACTTAACCTCTGTGGCAAGGAAGGTCGTAAAATGGGGCAAAACTCACTTAACAAATGTCTTGCTTAACAAAAGAAATTTTGGGCCCAATTGTGGTCGCAAGCCGAAGACTACCTGTACAAACTCTGTGCGCTTATATTTTAATTGGTTATTCTAATTGCATTCATACATTCTCTTTACATATGCCCAACACCCACCCCTTCTGATTCTTAGACTTAGAATAATTTTATTGTCACGTTAAAGGCAGTGGTGAAATCCTACCGGTTTGCATCGGTTTGGGCAAACTGGTAGTGATAAAATCTACTGATTTGGCGAATCGGTAGTAAAAAAAAAAAAGCTACCGGTTGGTCCGAACCAGTATTTTCGACAATCAGCTGTCAGAAAATCCTGCTTTCTACAAATCTAAACTGTGCGGCACAGTGGTGTCCCCCCTCACTGTTCCACTTATCTTCAAACGGTTTTTTCTGTGTGAAGCGTGAGTTTGGTGCGCACTGCGCATGCACGTGCAGTGTATGTTTGGTTGCACATCATCTGGCACACACTGTGCATGTGGCACACATCTAGTGCGCACCGTGCATGCATGGGCAGCGAACCGGTGTCGACACTAATCAGCACACATTAGAATGAAATTTTGTTGCATACAGCTCTCAAAGAGTCATCATCTCCAATATACACTACATAAACATGACTGACTGACTGAATGAATGAATACAAAATTACGCATATACCCACATATATTATACAACTCAGAGAAACAATACAGTCTAGTTCAGATGTATACATGCCACATTTATTTCATTTTTGGTTCTCAGCTTCAACTGACCAGGTCTTTGCCCCAGCCACCCACCACATACAACTCCAGTAATGCTGAATTCTCCATTGAACGAGGGGATATGAAAACCACTTCTGACTTGTAGAAAGTTCCACCATTTTGATAAAGGGGAATATTAGCAGCTCAGGATTGAAATGAGGGGGTCCTTGGTGCTCTTTGAGCTGGATGGTGTTTTTTCCAGACCTTTCCTTACCCAAACTAGGAAACGTCATCAATGCTGTTGAACGATGAACTAGGTAACATCTAGTTACCTAGTTTGAGTAATGAAACATCTGCAAGAAAAACCACCCATCCCAGAGAGCACCAAGGATTCCTCGTTCACCATTCCTGCCTCACCCGTTTTGCATGCAGTGGGAGAAAAGCTCAGGGATGAAATACTTCCAAACAGATTCAGTATTTTTTAAAAAAAAACTGGGGGAAAAAAACACACACTGGAAAATCAGAAGTACCCCTTTAACCTTCTTTGATAAAAATCAAAGAAAGGAAATAGCACGCTTCGGCATTTACTCTCATTTTAATACGGATAGGTGCAGCCCTTTCGGTCTCCAAATAATATTTCCAAATAAGGCAAGGGTGGATTGTGTAGTAGGCTATAAATCTCTTCGGAAAGTGAAAGAAGTAGATCTGCAGGGGGGGAAAGCAAGCAAATTTCCCCTCCAAGCAGATGCCTGCCTGTCTTCCAAGTCTGCTTCCTCTTGGAACAGGCTCTCTGGCTTCACACGCTCACATCAGAGGCTGTCACTGCTCCTATCACAAGACATTTACCCCGAACAAGCTTCTCAAACCCCAAACCCCGTTTGGGAGATTCTTAAGCAGAGAAGAGTCGGTCAAGGGTATCGGACCCTGAAAGAGTGACGTCTGTTTGTCAGCCTTCTCAGAGGAGGCTGACAAACAGACCAGCTGTTTTGAGAGAATGCATCTGTTTACAGGAAATTGGGGGTGAAGCATTAGTGGCTTTTTTTTAAAACAAAAATGGGAATGATAACAATGGGCTCTTATTGCTAAGAACAAGGTGGCTTCTCTTAAAAGTGTCAGGAAGTGGAAGCAGATTTTTTTAAAAATAATAATAATAATAAATGGGTTCAGATTTTGAACCTTGTGCTTAAATGTCTTTTTTAGATGTTGCTTTAAGCAAAGAAAGCACAGACTTGACCAGGGCAGAAACAGAGGAAGTTACTTTGAGCCACAAGAAATAAGACAGGTTATGTAGTTTTGATCAGTGTTCTGCACCTTTGGGGTGACAGAGGATGGATTTGCTTTTGAAGCACGACTAAATATAAAATATAAATAGAATAGTATAAGTATTAGTATTAGTATAGTATAGTACAGGGGTCGGCAACCTTAAACACTCAAAGAGCCACAAAGCTCCTAACTGGAAGCCCCCATTCAAGTCTGGAGCTGACCGGAAGTCCAGTTCCTTCACCATAGAGTCTCCTCCTAGCATGGTGTCCTTTTTCCTTTATCTGTCCTAACCGAAAGCCCTATGAATTGTGGAGCCGACCGGCGACAGAGAGCCACAGCAGAGGGATGAAATAGCCACATGCGGCTCCAGAGCCACAGGTTGCCGACCCGATATAGTATTAGTAGAGTAGAACAGAATGGAACGTAACAGAACAGAATAACAGAGTTGGAAGGGACCTTGGAGGTCTTCTAGTCCAACCCCCTGCTCAGGCAGGAAACCCTATCATTTCAGACAAATGATGATTCAGACAATCTCTTCTTAAAAAGTGTTGGAGCATTCACAACTTCTGGAGGCAAGTTGTTCCACTGATTGTTTTCACTGCCAGGAATTTTCTCCTTAGTTCTAAGTTGCTTCTCTCCTTGATTAGTTTCCACCCATTGCTTCTTGTCCTGCCTTCAGGCGCTTTGGAGAATAGCTTGACTCCCTCTTCTTTGTGGCAACCCTTGACTTCATTTGCAAAGTGACTCTGCCGTGCATGCCTCCTCATTTCAGTGCCGTTACCGTGTGCTGCAGATACCAAGCTACAGATGCAAGTAGAGCTACTTCTTCCACCCATGGCATTCTTATTTGCACCAATCAGTACAGATTGCAAATGTGCAGTGAGCATTGGGGCTGGCATGGGGAGGTGAAGGGAATACAGGTTTCCAGGGATTCTATTCTTACTTTCGGGTTTCGGGTTCAGTAACTGAATTACTGCACACCTGTCCTGTCACCTTTGTTGCTTGGCATTTAGACAGAGACACCCGAATGATACCATTAGGGTGTGGGGATGGTGACATCAGTACGTTGATGAAAGAAACCAGAACTCGGTGTCAGCAAAGTCAGATAAGGCAGCGTCTAGACAAAGTAGTAGGGTGGATGTGGGGCAATAAAATGAAATTAAATCCTGACAAAGTGGAGCTGCTGGATTGGCAACTCACAGATCCGGGAAGCAGGTCAGGTATGCCCCTCACTTCAGGTAAGGCTGCACTTCCCTTAAAGATGCAAGTTCCAGATTTAGCATCTTCGTGGATTCTGCTATCACTCAAGGTCCAGGGTGTGTTAGTTACAAGCCGTGTATTAACATATCCTGTAACCAGGATTGGGCTGCTGGGGGTTCGCAAGGGTTCTGGAGAACCTCTAGCTAAGATTCTGTGCAGTTTGGAGAACCCCCAAATCCCACTCCTGGTGAGATTCGAACTGCCAAATTGCAGCTGGCAGTCAGCAGAAGTAGCCTGCAGTACTGCATTCTAACCACTGCGCCACCATGGCTCGTGTAGGGTCTCCTGCTTGGGCAGAGGGTTGGGCTTGGACTTGATGACCTACAAGGTCCCTTCCAACTCTGTTAATCTGTACTCTGTATGAGCTAGTAACTGTACTAGCAAAGGAGGAGCATACAGATTTATCATTTATTTATTTATTGGTTCAATTTATATGCCGCCCTTTTCCAGAGACTCCGGGCGGCTTACAATGCGTTAAGCAATAGCCTTCATACTTTTGTATATACCTGCTTCGTAGGGCTTTCAGGCCCCCCCAAGCGGTGTTCTTTTTTTATACAAAGTCAGTTTATTGCCCCCACAATCCAGGTCCTCATTTTACCTACCTCGAAAGGATGGAAGACTGAGTCAACCTTGAGCCTGGTGAGATTCAAACTTGCAGTAATTGCAAGCAGCTGGTGCTACTTAACAGCACTTTAGTCTGCTGCGCCACCAAGATTTTACCCAAGACCCCTACAAACAGGGGATTAAGAGAAGACAAACTCCAATTCAATGCAAGGGCAACAGATTGAAAAGGGTTAGTCTATGTCAGGGGTATCAAACTCAAGGACCGCAGGGCCACCCTGGAAACAGCAAAGGAGTGGGCCGCAGTGCCTCTGTCAGTGAAAACGGAGCTCGGGAGGGCTGCACACGCCCCCCCAGAGCTTCATTTTTTTTCTGGGAAAGGGTTGCAGGAGGCCGTCGCAGCCAAAAATGGAGCTCAGGAGCCGGTTTTCTCTGGCAGAGTGCTCGGGCCGCCACAGGTGCCCCCGACATGAGTGACATTGAGCTGGCCACGCCGACCCTGGCCACGGCCACTTCCCTCCAGTAGTGGGTTCCACTTTATTTATTTATTATTTGTATTTCTGTGCCGCCCACTCTCCAAGGACTCTGGGCGGCTTACACCAAAGACAGTATACTAGATAGCATATTGCCCCCAACAATCTGGGTCCTCATTTCACCCACCTCGGAAGGATGGAACGCTGAGTCAACCTTGAACCGGTGAGATTTGATCCGCTGATCTGCTGAACTAGCAGTCAGCTGAAGTAGCTGCAGTACTGCACTCTAACCACTGCGCCACCTTGGCTCTTCACTACTTGCCTTCACTACT